TAACCAGATTACATTCGCAAAAACTTCAAAACCACGACTCTTGAAACCATAATCTCAAAGACAGGGGGCAAAGCCAGCCAAACACACATTCCCCCAAATATGCCCAAGACTGGCGACATTTTCAAACAAATCTTCGCCGAAAAAAAGGACCGGGATAGTAGTGGTTCTCAACCCATCATGTCAATCTCAATACACTGCGGGCAAAACCAGAATCCCTCTACAAGAAGCCTTAGGGGTAATATCAAAATCTGACTTATCTGTCACCCATCTGAATAAACCACACTTCAAGAGCAAGAAGACTCCTACCATCAAAGTCATATCGGACAAAGCCTCTTTCATGGGAGACCAAAACGTCTGCGACGAACCATATGGAGATCTTCTAAATCAATTACATCAAAGGCTTCCATATTAAGCAAATCTTCACAAGAAACGCAGTTGGCCGCAACATAAAGGCGATGTCTCAAGGTAACTAGAATCTTAGCAGTAGCTGAAATGTCGTACACTCAAATCACCTATAGGAATGAGTGATGAGCGAAATAAAAAATGGGAGTGAAAGAGAGCATAATCAAAAACAAGAGTGAAAGCGAGGGATTACTGATATTCTCATGGCTTGGCTTATACCCTTCTTAAAAAAAAAAAAAATTTGGCAGCACGGCAACTACCACCCAAAAACGGTTTCATCCAATTCGCACACACTTCTCGAAAGCAAAGTCTTGATATGGCTTTCATTTTTAATTTCCAATAAACATTGTTGCATTCATCTTAAGTCAAGATTAATAAAGTCACTCTTTGTTCCGGAGAATAGAAAGTGGGCAACAGATCTTTGGAGGCAAAACCGGTACACCTTGGAATATGGGGAGGTCTGAGTACCCAAGAATCGAAAATCAAATTTTCATTCATGAGTTGATGAAGAAATCTCTAGGAATTAGAGAGCATTCAATCTCATTAAACCAACCAGCAAACATACTATCCTTCAAATTCATGGTCGGAGGAAGAGGAACCAACATATCACACATACCAAGAGATACACGACTGTAAAACATGAGGGTCCAAGCGTGACCGACAAGAAGAATGAAGCAATATACACCACCAGCTCACCCCACAAAGTATACCCTCATACAATACCACCACGAAGATAAGCTTCAAGCGAGCAAGCTGAAAGTCTCTCCAACATAAGCAGAACCAAAGATTAAGTCGATCAAAAGGAAATGACAATTCCTGGAGGATGAGCAATTTAAAGGAACCCCGGGTTAAAACGCAAAACAAAAACCAACCAAAACGACATATTCTCATAACAGTTGCCAAATGCATCACATCATTTTTTTTTCACTGAGTATTCATGACTTCATTAGCATGACACATCACACAATCATTCTCAAAATCATTTTGAAACTCCTTAAAAGATAACATCACATATTAAAATGGATCATGCATTCATTGACTACAACTCCCAAAAACTCATACATTTAACTAGATTTCAAATGCTTGTCAAATCGTGCCACATACAACAATTACATACACAAAATTTCTTCAAGTCTACCAAGTGCATTTCACATACAATTATGGCAATGCATAATATCCATTTAGGTTTGTCCTAAACGGATACCATAACACAAAATACATCGGTGCTGGCGAGCGCCTGAAAAATACGACACCAACGCTGATGAGCGTTTGAAAAGTACATCAGTGCTGGCGAGCGCTCAAAAAATACGACACCAACGCTGATGAGCGTTTGAAAAATACATCGGTGCTGGCGAGCGCCAGAAAAATACGACACCAACGCTGGTGAGCGTTTGAAAAATACATCGGTGCTGGCGAGCGCCAGAAAAATACGACACCAACGCTGGTGAGCGTTTGAAAAGTACAACGGTGCTGGCGAGCGCCCGAAAAATACGACACCAACGCTGATGAGAGTTTGAAAAGTACATCGGTGCTGGCGAGCGCCCAAAAAATACGACACAAATGCTGATGAGCGTTTGAAAAATACATCGGTGCTGGCGAGCGCCCGAAAAATACGACACCAACGCTGATGAGCGTTTGAAAAAATATATTGGTGCTAGCGAGCGCCTGAAAAATACGACACCAACGCTGATGAGCGTTTGAAAAATACATCGTTGCTGGCGAGCGCCTGAAAAATACGACACCAATGCTGATGACCGTTTGAAAAATACATCGGTGCTGGCGAGCGCCTGAAAAATACGACACCAACGCTGATAAGCGTTTGAAAAGTATATCGGTGCTGGCGAGCGCTTGAAAAATACGACAACAACGCTGATGAGCGTTTGAAAAATACATCAGTGCTGGCGAGCGCTTGAAAAATACGACACTAACACTGACAATTGTTCGAAAAATATAGTAGTTACCTTACATATTACGAAGAACAACAAATTATGCGCTTCGACATCATACACAACTCAGTTCTTCCTACACTCTAAGATCACTTATTCTGGAGTCTTCGACCCAACCATCGCCAAAGTTACTTCTGAAAAATGTTTGTATAACTCTTTATACAAAGAGATATACAAAGGGGGCAACTGCAGACACCACATTTTGTCCGGAGTAATCATGCTAATTATATATTAAAAAAAACTATTTATAACATCGTAATACAATAATATTGTGAAAGGAAGTTTGAAATAATTTGGTTAGGACTAGCAGTGGCATGTCAATACGAACCATTTATTACTATTTTTCGCTCACATACAATCCAAGAATCAATTCGAATGGACACGAGGATGAGTACTACTTTGACGTTTCGAAGCGCTTGAAATTTGGGGTTTGAATTTGAACTTGGTTTACATATATGCAATTAAAAGACCACTCCTTTTATAAACCATGCACCTGCAACGAAAGAAAAAAAACATTAAGTTGAAGCCCATTTTCCAAGTCTAGGAACTCGGCCCAGATCTAGAGAAGCCCAAGTTTAAGTCCAACTCAGAGCACATTTTGGCTTACATCAGCCCAACTACCCGATCCATCTTATCTACAATCGATTTAGCATTTCAAGGAGTGATGACAGACTTGCAGAGGCAGCTTTAATAAGAACCAATTACAAAATGACACGTGGCGGTTTAGTTTGATTTAAATGAGCTCTTTGAGCTCTGTGTTGACGAGGGGAACACTCTAAAAAAATAGAATTTGACATCCAAATTATCTTTGGCAATTCTTGCTCATATGCGAAAGTTCGGTGGGAACACTTTGGGAGATCGAGGAGCAGATTTACAAGTTTGAAGGAGAAGAGGCCATGGAAACTCCAACCAGGTTGGTGTTAGTACTCCAGTTTCATCTTCTTAATAAGATCTCATGTCATTTAGTCTAGTTTACAATCAATCACCAACGATGTTATAATAATCCATCTATTTGCGTATTTATGTTCAAGCATTTTTCTTTACGAGCTACTTTATATTCAAACACTCCATTTACCAAGATCTGCTCATATTTAGTTTCATTAAGCTCTCCCATTGAATTTTCTTCTACTTATTATTAGCTATGCCAATCTATAAACCGATTTAGATGACTATCCTTGGAGTTGGATCTTTTTTATTACTGTCATGTTTAGATTTTCTCCATTTGTTGGATAGATAGCAAATTACAGTACAACTAAAAAGAAACCTACTTTTCAAATAAGCAAAAATGATTTTTAAGAGTCCATGGATCAACTTGGATCCAAATTCAAAGTACATCACCCAAATACAATATGTTTTCATATTTCAAAACCCACGGTAGAATCTAACAAAATCACAAGTAAAATCACAAGCATTAACTGTAATTTATAATCCATAATCTAGCAAGAATTGCAGGCAGTGGCGGCGGCTAATAGAAGCCAAAATTAACAATTCTAAATCTAGAATTTTGCTTGATCGCAAGCAGTGGCGGTGATCAATCATTAGGGAGTCAAGTTTTATCCTACTCGGTTTCCTTTAACAGACTAACTCGCATACCAAAAGCAGAAAACAGACATAAACCATTTTTCAAAAGTTCAGATCTACCAATTTCATTTTTCGATTAAAAAAAATTCTAGTTATATTAATTCAAGCCGATTTCCGAAAAAAAAAAAGAGGAAAACGAAAGAAAAATTAGCCGAAGCACAGTAAAAATCGCCTAAAACAAATCAAAAAGACCGTGCATGTTTCGATCTTACCTAGATCGAGGCCATCTTGGTTGATTCGTCTAGTGTGAGCGGTCTTCTAGGCGAATCGAACGAGGAGAGTGGGAGGCTTTGTGTAGGCTGAAGAACGAGGGGGAAGAGGTGAGAAAGAGGCGTTTTCTTCACCTCTGATCTGGACTATTGGGAGGATGACGGCGGCGCCGCTAGGGTTTTGGTTCGCTCTCTGGAAGAGAGACGAGAGATGGAGAAGTCGAGAAGGATCGAGAGTGAGAGAAGAGAGAGAGATGAGAGGGCGGCGCTTTCTTAGTGTGGCTAGGGTTTATTGTTGCTTCTCTGAAAGAGAAGAAGGGAGGCGAGAGTGAAAGGAAGAATCGAGAAGAAAAAATAAGAGAGAGGGACGAGAGAGGGGTGAGAGGCGGCTGCACTTGTGGGTAGGTTTAGGATTAGGGTTTCCAAAAGAGGTTTATATACCTCAACATGTTAATTGACCGTTTTGTCCTTGGGTTTCCAAAAATTAAAGGACTCTGCCACCGTATTTTGGTGAAAGTTCAAAATACCCAAGGTTGTCAAACCGGATTAAGTCTTCAAGCCGGTTTGGCAAGGGGTTTGAGGTTTAATGGTCGGATCGGGGTTCAACCGGATTAAGCCGGTTTTGACAGGAAATAGGAGTTAATATTGGGGATCCACTAACACCTAATAAATTATACACATATATTATATGACATCTCAAAATAAAAATAAAGTAATTAACAAGATGGCAAAACATCATCAATTTCATCTACCAAGCTACTGCATTCCGTCCTAAATTCCTAATCAACTAATAACAACCACAACAAGCGAATGAATCTATAGATTCTAAGCTACTCACCAGAAGAAAAGAAAAAAAATACCGATGGGAAACAGTAACCTAATAGAAGAACGAAGCTGGGTAGGGCCGACGGGAGCTGGGTTAAGGCGGCCGAGAGCTGGGTCGAGGCCGCCGGGAGCACGCGTCGTGTCGCGGCGGGGTGAGCTAGGTCGAGATGTGTGGAGCTTGTCGAGGCCGCCGGGAGCAGGCGTTGTGTCGCGGCGGGGTGAGCTGGGTCGAGATGTGTGGAGCTCGGTTCCAGGCGATGGCAGGAGAGCGTCGTCGCTGTGCGCGAGAGGCGCCGATCGATGCCGGCGGAAGGAGGAAATTTTGGAGGACGCACGAGAGACGGAGGAGATCTGGGCTGCTTGCTTTGCTGCATCGGTTGACTCGACGGAAAGGAAGGGCGGAATCGGATTTAGGGTTACAAATCCCAATCTCCAAACTGTCGTCGTTCCATCACTAGCCGGTAACCGGATAAATCCGGTCAGACCCCGGTTTTGACCGATTTTGACCGGCTTTGACCGGTTGCCGGCTAGCTCAGAATATGGCTGGTGCTGGCCCCTTTTGTGCCCGGTTGCGGCCCAACCCGGTCGAACCGGCCGGTCAGAGCCGGGTTTGACAAACATGGAAATACCCTTCCCCTTTTCTCTGAAATAAAACGAGAAACAAAAATGGTAGCAACAGGCTTTCGAACCAGTGTCCTTGCAATCTGGTGTGTTGTACGACTAACTCCGTAGTCAGTTGGGCTGCTGGCCCATCATGCATTAATATTTTCATCCCGTATAATTTTATTTGTTTTAAAATCCTTAATACGAAATGTAGAATTGCAGATTAAGTTTATCTCGTTTCTTTTCTAATACATCAAATCTCCTCTTAATAATTGAAATTATTATATTATCTTTTTATAATTTCATAATATCAACTTAAATTTTAATAAATTTTTATACGAGCACCACGATCAGTGGAACGTGGTATGAAATTGCATTCAAAATTATCAAAGCTCAAACGAATTACGTGGACTTTGATCCCGTATAACGGGTACGTAGGCAACCGATAAGGTTCGAGTCCAACTAACTAATAAATTTTATCTTTCAATTAACGCCAGTGGGCGTATAATAAAACCATAAATTAATACGATAAAACTCTTTAGCGGTCCAGTGGGACCCGAAAAATATTACTAAAATACATCCAACACATATAAAAACTTATCGACTTAAGTAGTACCGATTTAGGGCGTTGTGGGGTGTGATTTCACTTCCCCACACGTAACTGTACTCCCGAACCCGAATCTCTTAACCGCAGACCATATCTCTGTTCCGACCCTAAGGTTAGAGCCGACCAAAGATTATTCGATCCACTCTAAAGAAAATCGATAGCGACTCCCAAAAATGCCGACGCGATGACATTCGGACCTCCGGAGGGACGGTTGCGACACAGTTCACGAGCATGAACTAAGACCGTGATCTGAGCTCGATCTGGGTGTATAAAGGAGGTTGATCTAAAGGAGAAAAGGGGGGGGGGACCTAGTGTGAGAAACTTCTTCTTCTTCTTCTTCAGATTTCAAGAGTGAGAAAGTGACGAACCAAAGAAGAGAAGAAACTAGAGTTCCATCTTCAAGCAAGGATTTGAGAATTCTTCCCCCAATGGAGGATATATTCAACACAAGGAGCAAGGCTAGCATCTCTTTGATGGTTTTCCTTCTTCTCTCTTGTGTTTTCCCTTCTCCTAGCATGGAGTAGTACCTTCTTTCACTTGGGTGTTTTTAAACCCTAGCTACAATTATGTGCATGCTTGTATGGATTGAATAATTTGTGTGTGGTTGTATTTAATGTGAATGTTGAGGTAATATTCATGAATGATTGTGTTGTGTGAAGCCTATCAATTTAATTGTCATTATAACCTAGGTAGAGAGAAAACCCACTTCCTTTCTTTGAAAGATGCGTGAATGCTGGGTTTTCTTAGACAATTCATTGTCTCCTGTCTATGTTACCCTCCTATCTATGGTTGCATTAGGGTAATTTCTTTCTCTTTTCTTAAATTATTTATCCCCCCCCCCCCCCCCCCCCTCGTTTTGTCTTTTGCCTAACCCTACATAATGTTCCTCTTTCAAACACTTCATTAGTCGATCTCTCAATATTAGATCGCCAATCTTCTCATTGTACGGTTGATTGATTAGGACTTATGGTGATCAGTATTTAAACAATTACGTTGAATTCAGTTGCTATAGCAAATTGGATTACAATTAGAGATTACATAAAGACCTTATTTCCCTAAACAATTTTCATTTCTATTTTCAAAATTTCAGATCTATACATGTCGTTTGTCCATACGGAGTATAGGTTTTGCAACTTCATTTCTATACAGGCGATTTTCAGATACACGTGGGTGATACTCGCTTAATATATTATGTCATTATGCTATACCTAGTAGAATTAATGTTGTTATGATAAATAAACATGCGAATTTTGAGTTAAAATATTAGATGGATCTAATGGACTAGGAAGTTTATAAAGATACATTCAATCTATCATTATACAATTTGAATCATCCATTTGGTATTTAACTATATGTGAAACCAAATAAAAGTCAAGATATTGCTCTTTAATCAAACTTTTTTCATTGATAATTGCAATATAATCACTATATTTTTTTTGTTCGTGCCTATATTGAATGAGATCTCATTAGGTATTGGAATAGTTCTGAGTAGGCCAAAACCAACCGTTCCTATTCCCACCTATATCTTGCAGGTTTCACCCATATAAGATATTAGATTTGGGCTCGTCCGTATCCGTTAGGCGAATGCATTACATAAATGGTATAATTTTGGGATCACTTAGCTTGCTAACCCCTTTAAGGTTGGAAAAATGACACCCCTATTAATTATAGTTATTGTTGATATTAAATTTGTGTTGTAACTAATAATTTTTTAGAATTAAAAACTCATATTAATAACATTCATTTTTTTGAACTACCAATGCACTGATACAACTATCATTGCATCTGTACACTAAACTCATATTAATAACATTTTTTTAACTACCATTGCACCTGTACACTAATATCATTGCACTGAAAAAAAGGAAAGTAATTAATATGTATTTTGAATTCAGACAGATTATTAAATACAATACAAATTAATTTCCTTAAAAGCCTATAATTAATAGAAGGTGTCATTTTTCCAAACTCTTTAGAGGTAGTCATGCTATCTCACCCCTATAATCTGGAAATGTTGTCCAAAATCCGAATGATGTTACATTTTTATTAGGTGACATGAAGGAATCCAAATTATCTCACTACTAAACATATATTAGAATTTGTGTTGATACATTGTTCAATCATGGACAAAAGTCCTTATCAAAATTGTAAAACACAACTCATGCAAGGAACCTGTTTTTAAAAATATTAATCAAAATGCACTTAAGTTTACTTCTCACGGTTAGAAAGTACTAAAATTTATTTTAGACTTTTTCGTGATTATTTCACCATGGAAAACATTATCTTTTTCCAAGTGGATTCATGTTCACCATCGATAACTTTTCCTACTCTCATGCATTTCATTGAAAAAAAAACTGTAATTGTAAAATGTTTGGAAATAATGTTTGTTTGTAACTGTAAATTGTAATTGGAAATGGAAATGTGAAAAAAAAAATTCTTCATTACCAAATCTACTACTTTCACCGTTAGCATACTCTTTTTTCTTTTCCAACATTTCACTGAAAGCAAAAATTTAATGACACAATATTTATATTGATTTGTGGAGCACTATTTCCAAAAAGTTAAATTTACCTCGTCCATATAATGAACTTCATCTGAAATTACTCTTTTTCATCCTTACGTATCTTCATAACAGTGTACTCACTTATTGTATTCACGATATTATAATATGTGAGCTTGGTGTGAAAATTCAACTTAATTCCTTCGGTTTGTAGGAGACGAGGACTTAAGGTCCTCTCATTCGATCACTATCTTCCAATATTTTCTCAGTAGATCCAAAAAGTCTAACTCTCTTGCGATCTTAGACAATAAATTCAGAGTTCAACAATTTTATCCATCACTTGGGGCTGAATCGTGCATCTATAAAACATTAGCAATTGAGACACACTGTTCAGTCGAAAACCTTATGTTTTAGTGGGCAATATTTTTTTTCTTAAATGAATGAATTTGAAATTAAAAAGAATGAAAGAGCAGAGTAGAGTAAATTATTACCTAGCTATTGTTGTCTTCGATGTTGTTGGATACTTCTTATAAAAGTAATCTTCTTAGTCTTTTTCGACTTTTCTTTGACAGGCCTCAATTAATAAAAAATTTATAAATAAAAAATTTTTAAAATTGAAGTTGAAAAGGAGATAGAGTCCATTGATTTTGTGGGAGATTGAAAAACACATAATAATAGCCCTTGAGATCCGTGTCAGCTGTCATTAAAAGAGGTTTCACACCAAATTCTCATCCCTTCATTGCATCGTCAATTAAATGCGTATCCCTGACATTTTTTTTAAGCATAGAATAACAAAATATAAATATACTTATACATACACCTAACCAACTTATCAATGACTTGGGGAACAGTAACAAATTGAAGGCTACAAACTCTACAAAACTCGTGTCTTACCGCCCTTGATACGATGATGATATGAATCATACTACCCTGATACGATCATATCACCATTGCATTAGGGTCGGTTTGACATGGAGATTTATAGAGTTTTGCATGAAAGAGATTTTATACCATGTAATTTCCACTTATTAATTATGATAAATGGGTTGGGTATTTTTTATCTGTTGGTAATACCAAATATCAATTATAGAATAATATAAAAATGCTTTTTATTTTACGAAGTCTCTTTTCATTAAGTACTATATGGGTAAGTGGTATGTGTATAAAACTATAAATATATAGACATTTACTTTGTATTTAAGTTTGATACTCAACTCAATTGAGTTGGATAATTAATTACTTTATGGGGTCGTTTGGATGAGTTTATTGGTTTTGAGGTATTTGTAAAACCAAATAACTCATTTTTTCTACAAGTGGTATTTGTGTGTTATTTGTAGAAATTGAGAATTAAAATGTCTTGTTTGGATGAACTAAGGCAATGGGTTATTTTAGGTGTGGTATTTGGCATAAAATACCATAGTGCCCTCATCTTAATGCCCTCACCAATTGTTTCTTTCAATTTCTTTCTTCTACCATTTTCAAGCAATCAAGTCCACCATCCAATACAACGTTGATTCATCTGTCATCATAAACCATCCATTACAAAATTCTCAGGCTCTCTACAACTTTCATTCATCATAAACCATTCATTACCACCTGCTGCGAAATTCTGGATATGAGCATTACAAAAAGAAAGCCCTACTCCTTCCACGGCTGCAAAAAGCAATTCACTCTCTAGAAAGTACCACAGGACTCGCAAAACTGGATGTTCTTTCCACCCATCGATCGCTTTTGCAGCCACTGGAACTTAATCCTTATCGGTTCATCAACTTCAACCATCCTATGT